CTTTGATTTTCAGCCACTGATGCGCTTTGAAGACCTCGTCTTACCCTCTTTTGTGTATGCTGTCATGACAGCTGATACCGTACCTTGCACACCCCACAAGGTTTGCTATTTCCATAACTGATGCTCCACTTAAACATGCTCCAATCATCATTCCTCTTTGGAACTCTGACAGGTCTGATATTTCAACTCACAGACAGTTCGATCGAAGCATGCAATGCAGGTAACTGCTGTTGAGAGACTGATACCTTCCTCTTTATTGTGGTCCGATGCTTGCTAGGTGTTCAAACTGACCTTCCGCTTTATGCTCACTAGATGGCAGACTTCTGTTGCAGGTGGCGCGGCTGTACTGCTGGTGTGAAATACGTCAGACTTTTTCACACGTGTTCACATTATTTTGCCCTATACGTATATATATTATTAGAAAAGCAGTTATGATTATACAGGGGCAGCCAAACTTCATGTAAGAGCCTTATGTTGGAAATTCAAGAAAGTTTGAAAGACATAAACAGTTTTTCCAAAAGCCGTAAGTCCAGATTTACATTATTTTAAAGGTGGTGAAGCAAGTTTCAAATGAAAAGAAACATCTAGTAATTTTGTAAAAGGAAATGAAATAAATTAATTATTTCTCTTGGATACCGAGTTTTAGTTCACCATATTTCATTTACATAAGAGCCAGACCTTGTACACATACATATCTTTCTTTCTTTGCTCCAAGAATCAAAACTTAGCCATAAGTGTTTCCTTTTTAAAAATGAACTAATAAACATGGCTCATTCAACTTTTTGTAATTTTAATTTATGAGTGGCACAGCTTCTGTTACCTAAATTTATTCAATTACTTATTTTAGGCTCAAATTTTATCGACTTCTATTCATTAAGATGATATTTATATTATTAAAGAGAGTTGGAAATTTTTTAAACTGCAAACTAATATACCGTGAAGTGACAGAAAAGCTCATGATCAGATAAAGGCAGTCATATCACTCGCGGATAAACGCAAAAGAAAAGTGTCTATTATATGAAATCCGTCTATTCATCTTAGAAATTATAATTTCATATAAAGTTTTGTTTCATTTGCTTTTGTATATATTATTGTATGCTATATATATGACAACAATGTGTTTTCTGCCAACAATCTTTTATTAAAAATCGAAAAGCCAAAAAAAAAGAGCCTAAACCACCATTAGCACTGCCAATAAGCATTAAAAAATAATGTAAATAAAATCATTGAAGAGGTAAATAAAGTTAGTTTAATTTTAGTTTCCTGTATTTAAGTGTTTAATAACAGCACAGTTTCGTGCATCGAAAAATAATGTAAAGAAATTCTAGAACAGGAAAAAAAAAAAAAGTTTATTTAAAAGCTGAACCTGTATTTTTTTATTTTATTTTTTCCTGTATATCAAAAGTTCCGCTGTTTGGTACTTGAATTTGATTGCCATGAATATTGAGTATTTTCTGCAGTACCATCAAAAATATATATTTATGAGGAAAACATTTTTTTGAGGGGGGGGAGCTCATCCAAAATACTACACAGCAAACTTTGTTTTAAAATGAGATTTTTAATGTAATTTATTAAATAATAATTCTTGAATATTAAGTCAACAGATTGCTTATTCCTATATTTAATTTTTAGTCTTGAATTATTAGCTGCCCATATTAAAAAGTCATTAGTGACTGACTACCATACCAAAGGGCCTGGGTTCAAATCCCGGAGTAAGCCTGGATAGAAATTGTCTGTCCCCTTACAGAAGACAATGGTGGTCCACCTATTAGGAGCCTCCATAATAAAATGACCATCACTTCCGACCTTAGTAGGGGTCAAAGCCTATAATTGCAAGTGCTCACCATTGGTCAGGAGAAAAATTAAATTATTAAAAAATGAACTGATTTTAAGAACTATAATATTTATCAACAATCATTTAAAGTGCCTTCTTACCAGTAACACTTTCACTAGATTTTCTTACATACATGATCAAAAAAGAGGGTTTCAGCATGAAAAAAATCAGTTTTACTAATTTGCAGCATTACAAATAAAAATAAAGATTACATATTTAGTTTTAGGTTCGACATTAAAAAAATTGCACACATTGTCTGTTTCCATTCATTTATTTTATTTTAAACAGGAAAAAAAAATATGTTTATACAAATGAAAAATAATTTTACTATTCTGTCATTTTGGAATAAATGCTTTGTTCATTTTGTTTAAATAGAAATAAAAATATTTTACTATTTTGAAGCTAATCTTTCTTGAAATAAAACAGGCTATAATATAAGAAAAAATAAAATCTTTCATTTACATTATAGTAAATATGCATAGAAAGCTTACAGAAAGAAAGATGGCCCAATTATCTAGTTTTTTTTTTTTATTAATATTTGACTGGTCTGATCGTGATATAAATTCTGATTCTAGTCTAGATAGGTGAGTTGTGCTGTCATGGAAAGAGAGTTTAGCCAGATCATTAAATTCTAACACTGCAAAGCAGCAGATACAAAAAGAATCTTAATTTAAGAATGAAGTCTTGATTTCCTTTTCCCTTATAATAAATATTTGTTATTTGAATAAAATACTCAAATAACATGAAAATAAAAAAGTAAACAGTTCTGTCAAACAACAAATTCATCTTACCTGAAGATATTTTCTGTCAAAAATAAATTTGATTAGGATATCAAGTTAATAAACGAAATTTTATATTCAGAATTTTTATGTTATGTACTAGTATACCTAGTTCTTTGAACTCATGCTGTATACTCACAATGAAACAATTTAGCACATCATGTATCTGATTATGAATAACTGCCATTAGTGTGAATTGTGCATTCATACTGAAATAACTGAACATATTAAGCAATTAATAGTGAATTAATTATTTTACAGCAGCAAAAAATGTAAGAAACTAACCGTGTTGGAAGCTTGATTATGAGAAGGAAAGAAGAAAACCGCTGTAGATTAAATTATACACAAAACCTGAAAATTCCAGTGTAGCTTAAGAAAAATTTTAAGCTGATGCAAAAATAACTGACAGTGAGCAAGCATTCTTTTAATATTTATGTTCAATAAAATTTCAACATTTATATAGTATGCTAGAAACAAGTATGCATATATAATACAACTAAGTACACAATCCAATATTCACTGACAAAATAAAATTCACTTTTGTGGTTCATACTCACAGCTAAATTGTGTATTTAGCTGTCCCCCTCCCAAAACTTTAAGTACAGTTTACAATTAAAAGAATTAGTATGGCTTCTACTTTTTGGCAATTACAAATATGCTAGCAATAAGGATGAATCTTATTTAAATTATGATTTTTTTGAATTAATACAAAATAATGCAAAAAAATCTAGATCTTCCAAGCTTCCTGTATGCAATCCTAGATGTTTACAGTTATTATGTTATTCCACTATCTGAAATTATTGATGATAGTTTACATTATTACTTTACGAACTTTGCTATCTCAAAAAGATTCCAACTCACTTGAACAACCATCACAATTTGTCTTGCATAAAACACATTGGTTTGAGTAGAGAGAAGGGTACCCCTTGTATTATCATGAAGTTGTTTTATTTATGATAGCCTGAGTAGTTGAGACATAATCGGTTGCATGATTGCGGTAAATTTGTAAGGGCTTGTGGTGTGTATGTGTTGAAGCCAATATTGCTTGTTTTGTGGTTTAGACGGTAAAATGGCCGAATGTGGCAAGATTAATTTGAAGTTTCTGTATGATTTGGAAAGAAAAGGGAAAAGAGCATTACTTGACTGGTGTGCAAATACAGGTTTACTTTAGTAGCCATTATTGGGTGTTCTGTTTGTAGGAAAGAAATGCATATGGTCGAACATTGTTATGAAGGTTTTTTTTACTCTTATTTTGTGAATTTATGTGGCAATGCCAGTATACAGATTCTAGTTCAGATAATTTTAGGAAGTTTTTGGATGCTGTTACGGAATTTTGTTTGCCTGAAGACATGTTAATTAGTAAATAAGATAAATGGATATTTCCTTTGTGTAGTGCAAAGATGGATTTCCTATCTTATGTTATTTCATTGTTTGATTTAAAATATAGTTTATTGAGATTATATATTTTTTTATTGGCTGCTGCTTTGAATTTTTAAGTGAATATAGTTCGATGTGTACATGGAAAAAGTCAAGGGAGTGCGCAGTCTAGTTTGTGCAATTCTCCGATTTTTTTTTAAAGTGAAAATAGGTCGATGTGTACATGGATAAATTCTGGAACTTTTTTTTAAGTGAAAATAGGTCGATGTGCACATGGATATCGAGTTTGTGCAATTCTTTGTCTTGTTATTTTGGCTTTGTGTAGCGACGATTGGTGTCCCAAAATCTGCCGATACACAAGCCAAAATAACAAAAGAATTGCACAAACATGATATCTATATACCATCAAAAATCACCAAGTTTCACCAAGGGGTACCCATAAATATACTTTTACCAACACATCTAAACCCTTTCATTGCCTTTCCTAGCTGAAGGATGTTAATTCCAATAACACAGCTGAACTGCAAGTTTTACTTCTTACATGTTCAAAATGAAGTGGTTAAATTACTTTGGATATCCACTTTGCTTCTTACAGAAGGTAGTTTGTCTTACATCAGGAGACAGATTGGAAAAAAGAATTCTGAAATTTCATTATTATTGAATTCTATTACTAAACTACAGAACATAGTCAAAAATACTAAAAATTATTTGACTTAAAGATATAAAGCATAATTTTTTTTACATATCTGAAGTTTTCATTCAGGTCCACAAAATGTTTGATCACAAATGCAATTTATTAGACTGACTAAAACTTATAATTTTCCTACTGAGAAAAACATTATAATTACACACAACCTGAAGCATAAAAAATTAATACATTACAATTATAATGAACTGAAAACTTTAAATAATCATATAACTAATTAAATAACCTTATTCTAGATAATATACTTAAATTGTCAGAATACATTTAAGAATCAGAATATTTTTATGAAAATGACAGCCAACACTTAATGATTTGAAATGCTTTAATTTACAAATTAAATGCTTTAACATTATTCTAGGCTTACTTTATACATATATACATATAAATGGTTGAAGAAAAGGATTATATTATGCAGATGTAAAATAAATTCCACAAAATGCATCATGCAAAGCACGAGTACATGCATATTCAGACAGAAAACCACTAGCCATTTCAGTTTCAGAGGCACCACGAACATGTTGCATAAAGCCTTCACTTTTTAAAGTATTTGGAGTGAAAATATCAGGTCCACATATATTCAGCTTTACTTCCTGATAACTATACATATTTTCATTGCTTTCTCTGGGAACAGGCAAAAAGACTTGTTGTGATTTAACTCCTGTGGAAAATTTATTTTTTCTGATTGGAATATTCTTGAATTTAGGCTCTTTGTTTTTCAAAGAATGTGATGCAATTATATCTTTAGCTGATTTGTCAGAAAACATAAGGTCATCAATTAATGCTTCTTTTTTCTTTCTTTTCTCTTTCTCTAACTGTAATTCTTCTTCCATTACTTGCATTTTTCTAGCTTCAGATTCTAATTTTTCATATTCTAATAATTCCTCTAATTCCTCTTCCTCTTTACTTAATTTACCTTTGTTTTTCATAATTTGGGTCTTATTTTCTTTTTTATACTGGTCAATTTTACGTTTTGTGCTATCAACATCAATGTTGTTGGACAAATTAAAAATGATTGTTTCTACATCTTCTAAATAATCATTATATTCTCGCAGAGTTTTGAAATCTTCCTCTTTTTTATTAAAATCTTTCAAAATACGGCGGCGTATATCTAGTTCTTTTTCAACAGAAGAGTCTTCAAATATTTGAACTCTAAAATTGTTTCGACGCAAAGCAATATTACACTGAGGACAAGCAGCTGACCCCTTCACAAAAAGAAGTTCAACACAGTTTTCACAAAGAGCATGTCCACATATATTGACCATTAATTTCAAATTAGGATTTCGATACTTTGTTGTTTTGCAACGTGGGCATTCAATATCTTCCATTTTTATTATCATGTGTGATGTCAACAACCTTATAAAAATCAACCTGAAAAGGGGGAAAAAAATTACTTTTTCATAATATTAAAATGCTGCTACATAGGAAAAGCATATAAATTATTCTTGACCCATTCCAGATTATAAACAATATAATGCACACATTCTGTAATAGTTTTATGGCCAGTTTTCGGATAAATTGGCTCTTGGCGATTTGTTGACATATCGGGAGAGAGTGCACGTGCGCCAGATTATGGTAACTCTGACAAGTGTTGCAACCATGCAACTCACACAGGGAATTTTCCTGAAGGACAAAAAGGGATATTTTCTGTTTACATAGATTTACGGAATGTTACAGTAAAACAAAATAAAAGTTGGAAAATCGCAAATCGTTATCGGGAATTAATTTCAGTTGAGAAGAATAAAGCTCTATTCTGTTTACAGAATGCTACGGTAAGACAAATCATTACCGGGAGTTCATTTTAATTGAAAAATTAAAGTTCTATTCTATTTGTTCTACCTTTTGTAAAATAAGATAACTGCATGACATTTCCTACCTCAAATGCTAATTTTATGTAGGGAGGAAGGACCAGAAAGGTAAAATACAACTTTTTAATTTAAGCTAAATGCTCCTAAATATATATTAGAATATGTACAGGTGACACTTTTATATTAAACTGGCCACCATAACAAAATAAGCTGATTGAATTACCAAATTTGTAACATGTAACTATTAAATATTGCAAGGCTCTGTGTGCTTTAAAATGAACTAACAGTGCATATGCAGCAATGTTTTGATTTTCAGTTATAACTTTATTTTTACTGTTTTAATTATGAGTTCAGGAATGCTTCAGCATAAGGTATCCCAACTTATATGAGTTTGAAGTTATGCAGCTGCTTATTTTATTTCACACATTTATATCTGTAGTTAATTTGTATTTGAAATTGTGAATAATTCATAAAATGCTGGTGAACAATACCTAAATCAGAAAAAAAACCTGTGTCTATACATAAGAATTAGCTTTAATAAAATAAGTAGTATCAAAGTCTAATAATTTATGCTCATTGCTCTAAAACCCCATACCTTTCTTCAAAACAGCACTTCAGTTATTAATTGTGTTAAAAGAGAATGCAGTTGTTCTATGTTTGTATACGCAGTGCTGTTACTTTCATTCTTTGGTTCAAAAAAGTGAATGGAATTATATATTCTGAAAATTAGTTCACAGCAATAATTAATCTTTTATTTTATGCAATTAAATTTTCATAATTTAAATTTAAATTAGTTTTATACGAATGAGAAAATTTGTTAAATTCTTATGAAAATATATATAATATGAAATTGTAATCATAATCATATATAATATGAAAACCACATTCTTTATTACATATATTTTAAAACAAGTGCTTTTTTAGCCATTGATTCTTTTAAACTAAAATTCATATACAGTCAAAAGTCGTTAATTCGGATACCCATAATTCGGAATGATCTATAATCCGGACATCAAAACTAAAAACTTTCTGCGCATGCGCCGCGTTGACACATGCGCAGAGGCGTTCACGCGTGCGCGTAAGACCTTTTACGACTGCGCATATGAGTGTGCGCAAGTGCAGAATACGTTTTAGCGTGCGCATTTTATGTATAATGGACGTATAAGCTAAAATTATCTAATTATCTATTTCAGTTAATGTTGATGATTGCGTTGTTCCTTAATTTTCGAATTGCATCCGGCTTATTATTTTTTTGCAGACTGTAAGAGCAATTTTATAAAGGTAAGTTTAAACTTTCGATTATATCAAATAGAATTTCCGATATATATTTGTTAATATGTAAAGGATCTAAAGCGAAAGTATGTTTTGAAATCCGAAATCTGTTTATCAATTTCACGCTGCTCGGCGGCGGGCGCGTAATGAATTGGAAGTTGATTTGTCAGCACTATCCTTATCTTCAGCGCAGATGTTTTTATTTTATTTGGCTTATAATTCCTTACCAAATGTAGTATTTCATCTCGATATGCTCCGTCTTTGATATGATTTAAAACAAGTTCCTCGTCATTATAATTCGCTTCCGATAGCGAAGAAACGTGACAGAGGTTATTGAAAACAAAAAAATTTCGATTGACAAATTAGTCGGTGTTCTTGACACAGCAATTATAGGACTTGAACGGCGGAACTTTGTAACTGAACAAGAAATTATGTCTGTTTAATAGAATTAAAGAGAAAGTATTATCACATGAAACGAAGCAAAACTTAAACAACTTACATTGAAAGAAATGTTTAATAAAGTAAACAAATAAATATTAAGCTTTTTCTTTTTGTAAATTTTGATACCCTTTAGATCATAATTGTTCTTTATTTCATAAATTACGGTTTCATATTTTTAATTTTAGAATTTCTGCATGCCATCTTACGAGATTTAAACTGATGATCTATAATCCGGAAAAATCGATAATCCGGAATCGCCGAAGTCCCGACGAGTCCGGATTAACGACTTTTGACTGTATATTGTTTTGTATGCAAAATAAATAGGTATTCTTCTGTTATCATGACTAGATTCAGAATTATGTTTATATGCATGTATGGATGGATGTGTTCATGTATGCATATGTGTGTGTGCATACATGCATATACACATACATACATATGTACATTTCTGAATCTGATCCCAATAACAAGAGTATCAATAAATAACATCCCGACTACTGGTAATCTGACGTCAGAACTTTCATTAGTTACACCAGTAACATAACTTCAGAGATATAACTGTATTATATTTTAGTACTTAAATATTAACTTGTTAAAGTTAAAATGTAGCAAAGCTGAAGAATGCAAATGTGATACATTTCTCAACAACAATGTGCAGTAATCGCTCTTTAATAGTGGTTTTGATTATCAGCAGAATAAAGAAAACTAATAAAAGGTTATAAAAATTAGTTAACTTTGTTAAATTGAAATTGGCCAAATGATAAATATTTACGTGCTTATAAATCATGTTTGGTAGTTCAGAATTGTTTTCCCTCTCTGATTACCCTTGGACAGGGATAACAATTTTGGCCACCATTTTGGATTTCAAAAAACGCTTCTTGGCGCATTTTTGAAATCCAAGATGGCGGCCCAAAAAATCACCAAATTCAGCCAAGAGCCGCTTTATGTATTTTTCTATACTTATGTTTTATTGCACCTTGGTTTTTTTATTTCTTCTTATTATTATTTTCTTATTTCATTATAATTTTGTATGTTTTTGTGTAATTTCTAATTTATGGGAATATATTACATTATGTATTTTATTGACTTATTACTAAGCAGTAATTGTAATTCTTTAAATACTGTGTCTACGAAAAGAATAGCTTCCGCCATAGTGTCTGGCAGGTGGCAGTCACTATAGTAACAGGGCTAGCATATTTCAAATAGGGGCGAGACAAGGGTTGCTTTATTGTTATTTTGTTTTTGGTGACTGTTGACTGAGGGAAAAAGAGTTATCATTCATCTTTAAGACACCCGTAAGAAAAATGGGTCAATGTTCATTTCTATGGCAACAGACAGCTGTAGAATAACTGGCAAGAGGTTTTCTTATGATAGACAGACTGTACATGTTGGAATGTTGGAAACAAGTCAAACAGACCAACAAATATAGATTGTTCAGAAGTCAAACAACAAAAATCAGCGTTATGCAGCTGAAGATGATGGTTCGGTAAAACCATCGAAACTAGTCCTGTGAAAATTTTTTAAATATAACGCTGATTTTTGTTGTTTGACTTCTGAATTAGTATTTATTCGGCGTGTTATTGTGTCTTAAATATAGATTGTTATATTACGCTAAACTTTTCAATGAGGCTTAATTTCTAAGACCAGAAATACCCATGAGAAGCTGTCAAGAATGGTAAGCAAAAATGTTTACATAACATAAATAATTAAATAAAAAAAACAAAGAGATAAAAAACAAAACACCACAAAAATTAAATGAAATAACAATAAAAAATAAAATAAAATATTTAATTAAATAAAAAACTAATTAAAGATAATAACACTATGAATGAATGATAGCAACTTTCATCTTTATTTTGGCTTCTAAAACAACTACAACCCAGATTTCTCCTTCTTGTTAGGATCATGGGGTTTCCTTTCTCAACTTTTTCTACATATTTTGCTCTTCCCTAGGACAATTAAGGATATATTCTGCATTTCATCTGATTTAAGACTCCAACAGATTCCTGAGATCCAAATATACACTAGACTAAAAATATAATTTCACTAAAAAAAGTAAGAAGTATCAGAACTGGGCTCTGGTACCCTTCAGTTGAATTTAAACACTAGAAGGCTGCTGAGAAGACAAAATTTTTTTTGGTAAACTTGGCTGTTTTAAAAATTTCTACAACATACCAGAAGCTAAGATGGGTTTCCCCCTCCCTCGAAGTATTTGAGTAGTATTCTTCTTTTTACTTTCTACAGAGTATGTGTGAAATTTTGAATAAGTTGAGATTTAGTTTAGCCTGTAAATTGGAATGTTACTAGGTTTTAAGTTCTTAGGAAGTGATTTAATAATTCAAACTTGTTTCTGGGTTAAGGAGAGAAAACTATCTCTGGATTATGCTTCAGTTGCTGTTAGCTGTTTCGTTTCATATATAAAAATCATTATCATTTGGAGTTGCAATATAAAAGTTTAAGTTTTTATTTCCATCTGGCTTGTGTATTTAGATCTTTATGAATAATTAACACCCAACTTTTCAAAATCTTAGAGCACTTAAGAAAGAATCACAATTTCAGTTATTTTTTATAGATTATAAATAAAATACCAGGTATCCGAAAAGGTTTCTGCTACTGGAGAGGAAAGTGTGTTGATCATGTCGAAAGTAGTTCTGTATGACCTTCAATCCTGAAATGAACATGCGATTATCAAAGGATAATTTACCGCTAAGTTTACTTTATGAGTTCAAATTGGGCAGCAATGCTACAGAACCTACACGAAAAATATGCTCTGCATTTGGAAAGGCATTAGTGAATAAGCACACAGTGAGAAAATGGTTCAGTCAATTTGCACGGGGAGTTCAAAGTATC